ACTTCTCCTGCAGATGATGTTGGCTTGCAGATCTTCCAACAAACTTGCTAAATTTTCCCTGGACTGTCAGGCAGTCTAGAACATATATCCTTACAGTTCCACCTGAGGTCCCTTGGATCTCTCCCAGCCTTTCTTTGACCTGTCTCCCCATTTTCCTAATACAGTTGTTACAGATTTAACTGCATCTTGGCTTCTGCTTCTCAGAGGACCCAGACTAATACATTATGTTAGGAAGTAACAAGGGTTATACAGAAAACCAAAAGCACAGTAAGGGGTTGTATGTGTGCTCTCTTAAGTGAGGGCGGTCAGGGAAGGTCTTAGGCGGAAGTGGCCTGTGAAACAGAAATAGTTGGAGAAAATTCCAGAGTAAAGTAAATTGCTTGAGATTATATTATTAATTAGTGATAAATTATCAAATAGCTGGCACATTTAAATGCAACTGCTTTTTTATATGCAGTTTATAAGTAAGTGATGATAAAAAAAAATATGAGAGTATCTATTTAGGTGACAGTTCATATTAGACAATTGATATACATAGAACAAAATACTTCAGAAGGAGTGAGAAGAAAGCTCTAGAAAAGTGGCTTAAGCTCTAGAAACCATAGAATAATGCAACTAATTCTTTTCAGCCTACTTCATTCTGGCATTCCTTTCTTCCCCCTGTTCTTTTAGATTTATTTTACTAGTGCTGCAGCTTCTATACCAATTCTTCTGTACCAAATCAGCAAAATTTACCTTTTTTCTTTCTGACGTTTTCCGGTTCTGTTTCCTGAACTGTCTCCATCTCCTACACTGCCTAAGTTGTTGTTGAAATGTGTTTCAAAATATTACACAATCCAGAATAATAAGCACATTCATTTTGAATCTGAACTATAACCTCTTAGAAATAGCTCCCCCGCCAACTGCTCTTTGCCCATATGCACCAAATCTTCCTGTTGAAATCACATTATATTGAGAAGTCAGGGGAGGTTTGTATCCTGAGTTGAATTCTAGTTCTTTCATTTAAGGAATTTAAATAGGGACACACCTTTTTACTTATCTAATAATACATCATCTTCAGCTATTGAAATTCTTATACAATTTTAAAATTTTGCTTTTTTCTTACCTCTGAAAAGTTAAACTTTTTAAAGCATTATAATTTTCTAAAAATCCTTTTATGTGTTTGTGAAGTGCTTTGATCAGTTAGTTTGAAATAGATTCCCCTTGCTTGTTCTTTTGGCAAAAGCCTGGCATTCTTCCACCTTTCATAGAAAGTAAACTGCCCTTCTTCCTACAGAATAGAGCATGTGGAGGTTGAAAGTATTTTTCATAAGAAAGGGGGCATTCAGAGCAATACTTAGCTAAGCTTAATAAAAAGCAGTTGTGACTGAGAAACTGCAATGATGTCATGTAAGTTTTATCTTGCATAAGTAGCAGAGTGAGGAAATTCCAGAATTAATAAGTCTGCTGGTACAGCTGTGCCCTGATTTGGAAAGTTCAGGATGTACTTTTCATTCTCACTGACTGGACATTTTGCTCCACATCAGCCTTTGTGAAAGTAATTGGCTCTCACCATTTCCAAGCTGCTAAAACATTTATAAATGAGCCTATTTAGAAAATGTGAACTTTTAAGTGGATACAGTAATGATCATTTTGACTAAAAAATATTTTCCATATTTGCCTTGATTTTGTAATAACCAATAATTAGTTACTTTAAATTATCAAGTCCTTTCAAATATTGAGTTAAGAAATGGAAAGTATTAGCCTTGAGAAATGATTGAAGGGAGTGAAGAGTTAAAAGCCAAGAATGAACCACTGGTCTAGTTGTTAATGTAGCTCTAGTATTATCCAGAAAGCAGCTGACCAGCTGATCAACAAGAAATTGGCTAAATAAAATAGATATAATTTTATGACCCATAAGTCTATTGAACAGTATAATACAAATTCTTCTAAAGTTTTGAAAAGTAGAAAATTTAAATGAATGTGTTTGGTGTGTTATTACACTAGGTTTCATTCAGCCTTATGGGTATTAGTGTTTTGTATTTCTATCCTCTTGGGCACAACTAAAAAAAAAAATTTCATAATTAACCATACATATTGCTTGTTTGAAAATCCGAAAAGTTTAGCTTTTTATGATTATGAGTGCCTGAATGACTTTAATGGATGACTCTAAAATTACTCAATTTATAGGTATATTTCCCAAAAGTTAATATTAATATGATAGAGATTTTTTATTATTTTGTCTAGTAATAAAATAATTTTGAGGTTGAAGTTATTTCTGAAGGAGAAGTTATGAACTATGAGTTCTTAGAGCATATGTTTTAGATTCAGACTCACCAAGTTCTTCCACTTTGGAGCTAGTATCAAGCTAGTCACTCTAGTTCCCTGAGGCTCACTTTTCTAACACAAAATGGAGATTATTTATAATACAGTTCTCACAGGATAATCACGAAAATAAAATGACGTTAAAAATACAGGAAATTCCCTAGCAGTCCAGTGGTTAGTACATGGTGCTTTCACTGCAGTGGTTTGGCTTCAGTCCCTACTTGGGGAAGTAAGATCCTGCAAATCTGTGTGGTATGGTACAGCCAAAATAAATAAATATAATATTTTAAAATACACATTAAGTAGCCTTTATTAGGCTTTTTTCAAAATAGTCACTACACTTAAGTAGTGAGTATAGTACCATCAGCAATTGTTATTTTTATTCATTTACTTTTTCTTTTAACTTTTTTAATCTTCTGTTTCATTTTCCTTATGTACAAATGTGGGTGGAAAAAATGCCACAGTCTTTCACTGTTCTGAAAAGGCTGTCATATTTCTTCAGACTTAGAAAGATTTAGCTGCATTTCAGGTCAGTGAAAAACCCATTCAAAATTCCTTTCAAATTCTAATTGTGTAGCAACCAGAGTGTGAAATTTGGCATTTCTAAAGGTGTCAGACAGCTGAATTAGAATTAATAGACACTTCCAGGAAAGGAAGAGATACAATAGTGAGCAGAGGGTTATTCCATTATTTTCTAACCAATTGAAAAAAAACACTTAAAAATTTAAAAATTTTCCTTTATGAAATGGAGAATACTGTTCTGTAGCTAACATATTTAATTGCTGATCCCCTTTTGGTGGTTGACGGAGTGGTGACACTGAGCAGGGAGCTTAACTGTTTTGAGATAATTATAATAACAATAAAAATTCAGTGTAATGAAAAATAGCATTTTGAATTGCTAATAAAGAACTAAACCATTTCTTCAAAATACATAATACAATATGACTATTTTTCTTTTTTAAAAGGTTAAACAAAAAAAAGCATGAAGGTTCTCTGATATCTAGAGTTTATTACAGATGCCAACATTGTTATTTTAAAACAGGTAAACGGGGTAATTGCCTGGCAGTCCAATGGTCAGGAATCTGTGCTTTCTCTGCCAAGGGCCCAGTTTCAATCTCTGCTCAGAGAACTAAGAGCCCACAAGCGCTTGGTATGGCAAAAAAAAAAATTAAATAAATTAAGTAAAAATAAATGAGTAAACACCAAAACATAAATAAAACTAAAATATCTTAAAGATATATTTTAAATAAAACAAATTCCCTACAATGATAATATATATAAATAAGATATAGTGATATTGTTCCTTTCTAGAGATTGCATTTTTCATAAGCATATTTTTTTTAAAAATTCCTCTGCTTTCAAGATTGATGATCATCAAAACAACCACTAATTTCAGCATTACATACAGATTCTTTTATAAATATGCGATGTTGCTATATGGCATTTTTATTACTCTGTTGTGCACTTTCCTTCTTCCAGTCTCTTGAACTTAATCTGGTAGGTAGTTTTCTGAGACATTTCTTCTCTGATATAAGCATCTACCACAGAACTTTTAACTGAATTGAAATGGGAAGAATTGGTATTTATTTCTTTCCAACTCCATGTTGTATATTCAATCATTTTAAAATATACCTATAACTTTATATTAATTTGAGTCTTTTATACCAGTATTTTCATATATTTATGAAAGAAATGTGCTGTATTACTTTCAAATGCTCTTGTCTTCTTCCATTTCTTGTTTTTGTTTTATATCATATACTCCCTCGAGCTTAAGGATTTGAGCAGAGTTTAAAGATTCAGCAGAGAAAGCTGCCAATTCAAATTATACACTTTCTCTTTCCCTCATATACATACACTTATTTATATGTCTATTAGCAGGTATCTTGTTATTACTCTTCTAAAAATGTATTCATAAAGTTGAACCTAAACAACACACAACATTAGGGTTTGTAGAACTTGAATTCCAAATATACCTTGGTCATGAAAACTACAATAGTATGACGTTCTTTGAGTCATTTTCTCCTCCTATCCTTGACTTAATACTAAACAACAATAATAACCCAATTGAACTCTGGAGACTGTTATCTGTCATCTGATGATTCAAAGCACGTTGAAAAATACAAAGCAGTTTCAAAGTTATAAGAAATTTGAAATTTTAAGAAAGACTGTTGAAAAGACTTCATCTAGACAAGTTATTTTATCATGGAAGCTTGTCAGAAAAGAAGAACCCAACCCTTTTCTCCATCAATAATGCTTGTATATCAACTTCTATGGCTTTTATCCCTTAAATAAAACTCTGAACTAATCTAAATATTTTGCACTGTATTTTGATTCCAGATCCATCTAAAAACTTTATTCAGGAATAGCTTATATAAAAGGCAACAAAGATGAAACCCTTTGTTGTCAGTAACTTTTCTGGACGTTCCCAGTGTGGAGACCGGATTGTTTAACCATGTGTTAACAAGATTATGAGTAAAGACAAGTGAGTTAAAAGTTTTTGTTTTTTTTTAATAAGATTTTGAATTGTTTATTAGATTTTGATCTGAGATTGAAGTTAAATGCCGTAAAAGGAAAATTGCTAAATTGTTATTAAATTATTGCTACTAATGAAGAGTGTTAGTGGCTTTGCCAATAAGTAAAATAATTATATAGCAACATTTATGTTCAGAGGTTTTTGTCACACATACAACTTTCTTTTATAGGTCTTCTGATTCTGGTATGGTGGCATCCTCTGTAGGTTCAGTTGTTATAACTATAGGAATATTCTCAGATATCCATCCCTTCGGAGTCCTATTAAAGGACCGTCTGCCAGAAAGAGGATTGGCAAAGGCCATGAACCTGGGATCTGTTAGAAGTAGTAGGTCAAAATCTGGAACCTTGAATTTAACCATTTTTGATGCTTTTTCAAAACCTCCAAAGGGGGTGGCAACTCTGTGAGGAGTGAAAAGAAAAAGAATAAATTAATATTCAAATTTATTTGCCAGAAAATAGCAAACAATATAATGCATCAACTTATGGGCATGTTATTGTGTTATATTCTTAGTAGGAATTCAGTTTTTGACCTCTGAAATAAGCGTTTCCATTCAAGGACCATGCCTTTATGATAAAACAGATATTTGATAATGAATTTAGGTAAAGACATTTTGTATGTACTCTTAGTTTTGGACTGAACTAGTCTGTTACCTGGACCCTGAGTCATCACAAACATTTCTTGCCTTCCTGCCTTTGCTAACAATGTTACACTTGCTTATTTCCTCTGGGGGAGAAAAAAAAAGGTATTTCCTCTGTGCCTCCTCTCCACCTGTATATATTCTGTGGCCTTTAAATTTTAACTTCCCCCTAACTACCCCAAGCCCTCACTCCCTTTCTTAACCAAATTCCTATAGAACTGATTGTTTTATGTTAGTCTTATAGTGCATCTATTAATAATAGGGCATTTGGTATTTTCAGCTTCTGTTTTTCAGAATATGATTTGGTTTGGGTCATTTGAATTATAAATTCTTTGAGAGCAAGAAATATATCTTTGCATTTTTCTAGCTATGCCTCAAAAACATCAAAATCCTTCTACTCATCTGAAGAAGGTCCACCTTTCTTATCTTGGCATTCAAGATGTCATATAACTGTTTAGCTTTCTTTGATTTAGCAATAATTAGTCATCCAGGGCCAGACACATTTCTAAATGCTGGACATACAGCAGTGAGCAACGTAGTCAGAGTGTAAGGTTTTATATTTCTAGTGAAGGAGATAAAAAAAATAAACTTGTATGTTAGCTATAATTCAATAAAAATAATAATTTTTAGTTTTTAATAAAATTTTTAATAAAACACTAAACATACAGACAAACATTCAATAATAAGAACTATGAGAAATTTAAAATAGGGTGATAGAATAGAGCATAACTGAATGACTAGATAGGGAGAAAAGACTTCACTGGAAAGGTGACATTTAAACTGCCATCTGAAGGTCAGAAGTTTGCCATGGACAATATAACAGAAGCCCTTCAGCATTTCAGATAGAGTAGCTAATGCAAAGAATCTAAAGCAGAAATAATGTTGACCTTTTCAGAAATGAAAGAAAGCCTATGTTGCTAGACAGGTAAGTGAGGGGGATGGTAGAAGGGAGAGGGGACAGAGGGGTAGATTGTGTGGAATTTTGTCCGATAAGGAACATGGATTTCATTCTAAGTGTGAAGGGAAGCCATTAAAAACTGGAAAAGGTCAGTTTTCATTCCATTCCCAAAGGCAATGCCAAAGAATGTTCAAACTGCCACACAATTGCACTCATCTCACACGCTAGTAAAGTAATGTTCAAAATTCTCCAAGGCAGGCTTCAACAGTACATGAACCGTGAACTTCCAGATGTTCAAGGTGGATTTAGAAAAGACAGAGGAACCAGAGATCAAATTGCCAACACTTGCTGGATCATAGAAAAATTAAGAGAATTCCAGAAAAAAATTCTAATTCTGCTTCATTGACTACGCTAAAGCCTTTGACTGTGTAGATCACAACAAACTGTGGAAAATTCTGAAAGAGATGGGAATACCAGACCACCTTACCTGGCTCCTGCACAACCTGTATGCAGATCAAGAAACAACAGTTAGAACTGGACATGGAACAACAGACTGGTTCCACATTGGGAAAGGAGTACATCAAGGCTGTATACTGTCATCTTGCTTATGTAACTTCTGTGCAGAGTACATCATGTGAATGCCGGGCTGGATGAAGCACACCCCAAATCAAGATTGCTGGGAGAAATATCAATAATCTCAGATATACAGATGACACCAGCCTTATGGCAGAAAGTGAAGAGGAATTAAAGAGCTTCTTGCTGAAAGTGAAAGAGGAGAGTTAAAATGCTGACTTAAAACTCAACATTCAAAAAACAAAGATCATGGCATCTGGTCCCATCACTTCATGGCAAATCGATGGAGAAACAATGGAAACAGTGACAGACTTTATTTTCTTGGGCTACAAAATCACTGCAGATGGTGACTGCAGCCACGAAATTAAAAGATGCTTGCTCCTTGGAAGAAAAACTATGACCAACCCAGACAGCATATTTAAAAGCAGAGACATTACTTTGCCAACAAAGGTCCATCTAGTTAAAGCTTTGTTTTTTCCAGTAGTCATCTATGGATGTGAGAGTTGGACCATAAAGAAGGCTGAGCACTAAAGAATTGATGCTTTTGAACTGTGGTGTTGGAGAAGACTCTTGAAAGTCCCTTGGACTGCAAGAAGATCAAATCAGTCAATCCTCAAGGAAATCAGTCCTGAATATTCGTTGGAAGGACTGATGCTGAAGCTCAAGCTCCAATACTTTGGCCACCTGATGTGAAGAACCAACTCATTAGAAGAAGACACTGATGCTGGGAAAGATTGAAGGTGGGAAGAGAAGGGGATGATAGAGGATGAGATGGTTGGATGGCATCACCGACTCAGTGGACGTGAGTTTGAGCAAGCTTCAAGAGATGGTGAAAGACAGGGAATCCTGGTGTGCTGCAGTCTATGGGGTCACAGAGAGTTGGACAGGAATGAGCAACTGAACAGGACTGAACAATAAAACCAGGAGTGGTATAACCTGAGAAAATTTGAACTAAGATCACTCTGGCACCTGTTACTGTGTGAACAAGTATAGGTGGACAAGAATGAAAGAAAAGGACATACGGTACCGATTCAGGTGAGAAGTGATGGCATCTTGGATTTTAGGTGTTTTCCTTGAAGAAGTGGGTGGTTTCAGGACGTGTTCTACAGGTAGGGTCAAGAGAATATGCTGACAAATTGGATGAAAATTGTGAGGGAAATGTAAAAATCAAGGATTATTCCTCGGTTTAGAGTTTCAGTAGCTCGCTGGTAGAAGGCAAGGAGGAACAGGTTTCGTGTATGTGTGTGTGTGTGTGTGTGTGTGTGTGTGTGTGTGTGTAAAAATGACTTTGACATCGTAGTGGAAAGGTCAATCCTGCAAGTTTTACCCCATACACTTTCATGTAGTCTTTGTTCCAGTCAAACTGATGTACTGCTTGCTCTTCTCCTTGTTGGAGAAGGCAGTGGCACCCCACTCCAGTACTCTTGCCTGGAGAATCCCATGGACGGCGGAGCCTGGTAGGTAGGTGGGGTTGCTAAGAGTCGGACATGACTGAGCGAATTCACTTTCACTTTTCACTGTCATGCATTGGAGAAGGCAGTGGCAACACACTCCAGTATTCTTGTCTGGAGGATCCCAGGAACGGGGGAGGGTGGTGGGCTGCCGTCTGTGGGGTCACACAGAGTCAGACATGACTGAAGCGACTTAGCAGCAGCAGCAGCAGTTTCTCCTTGTGCTCTCCAACGTCATTGCATTTACTCACTCATTTTTCTCTGCCTGGAGTGCTCTGACTGTCATTACTAACATTTCTAAATCCCCTTTAAGTTTTAAGTATGTTCTTTAAGTAATTTATACTTAAGTATTTGATATTTAATTTTATTCTTGAAGCTTTCCCTGATCTCCCACAGCCAGAAATAAACTCTTTCTCCCCTAAGTTTCCATGAGCTCTATTTTTACCTCCCTGTAACCTCACTTTCCATCTTTCATTATATTCAGTAGTCTGTCTGCCTAATTTATGAGACTGCACTCCAAGAGGACTGGAATTCTCTCTGATATATCTTTGTATCTTGCTCAATATATGTAATTGTTTAATGTATTTTGCCTAGACGATCCTCATAAACATTTGGATAATGGAATTGGCAGGACTATAAATTCTCCAGTATTGTGGAGATCATTTTAAAGCCTAGAAGAGATCTGATTTTCTTTGAAGCTCAATCACCTGTGATCTTTCCTGAATATCTTAATTTCTGGATGATAATAGTAAGGGACTAAGGACTCAACCTAGCATATTAAAAAGCAGAGACATTACTTTGCCAACAAAGGTCCGTCTGGTCAAGGCTATGGTTTTTCCAGTGGTCATGTATGGATGTGAGAGTTGGACTGTGAAGAAAGCTGAGCACCGAAAAATTGATGCTTTTGAACTGTGGTGTTGGAGAAGACTCTTGAGAGTCCCTTGGACTGCAAGGAGATCCAACCAGTCCATCCTAAAGGAGATCAGTCCTGGGTGTTCATTGGAAAGATTGATGCTGAAGGTGAAACTCCAGTACTTTGGCCACCTCATGTGAAGAGTTGACTCATTGGAAAAGACCCTGATGCTGAGAGGGATTGGGGGCAGGAGGAGAAGGGGATGACAGAGGATGAGATGGCTAGATGGCATCACTGACTCAGTGGGCATGAGTTTGAGTAAACTCAGGGAGTTGGTGATGGACAGGGAAGCCTGGCGTGCTGCAATTCATGGGGTTGAGCGACTGAACTGAACTGAACTGAACTGAAGGAGTCTAGTAAAGTAAGGAGGAAATGAATGATGGACTTTGAAAAATGAGATGGCTTTGATGTGTGGTCTGAAGCATTATTGAAATAAGTAATAAATGAAAAAATTAAAATGTGGTAGTGAGATGCTTGAAATTTAGATTTTGAAGATGATGCAGATATTGGTGGGCTTCCCTAGTAGCTCAGTGGTAAAGAATCTGCCTGCAATGCAGGAGACCCGGGTTTGCTCCCTGGATTGGGAAGATCTTGCCTGGAGAATCCCATGGACAGAGGAGCCTGGTGGGCTGCAGTGCATGAGGTCACACAGAGTCAGACATGACTTGAAGTGACTAAGCGCAGCAGTAGCATAGATGTTGGTAATGGCACACTTGAAGGAAAGTCAGTAGTGACGAAGATGGGATTGAGAGAGAGGTCCTTTGAAGCAATACAGTCAAGGGCTTAAGAGGGCTGAGAGTTCAGTGAACCATTTAAGCCACCAAAAAGTGATGACAGGGATAGTCCTTCGGAAAAAGATTGAGAGCCAGATAAAATCTTCAGTGTCCGCAGGGTAGATAAGTGACCTCAGTGATGGCTGTAGCACATGTAACTATGTCATCTATTGGATGGGCCAAAAATTTCGCTCCTTTAGGGTTTCCATAAGATGTTACAAAAAAAACCTGAAAAGAATGCAGGTTTTGGCCAATGCAGTAGTAGTATAGAATCTCATGTCTTGCTGTGTGTGTTTAGTCACTCACTTGTATCCGACTCGTTGCAACCCCTTGGACTGCAGCATGCCAGGCTCCTCTGTCCATGGGGATTCTCCAGGCAAGAATACTGGAGTGGGTTGCCGTGCCCTCCTCCAGGGGATCTTCCCAACCTAGGGATCGAACCCAGGTCTTCCACATTCCAGGCATTCTTTACCATAAATGAAAGTGCCAGTCACTCAGTCATGTCTGCTTTTTTCTATCACATGGACTGTAGCCTGCCAGGCTTCTCTGTCCATGGAATTCTTCAGGCAAGGATACTGGAGTGTGTAGCTATTCCATTCTGCAGGGGATCTTCCTGAGCTGGGGACTGAACCAGGATCTCCTGTATTGCAGGAAGATTCTTTGAGCCACCAGGGAAGCTCTCATGTCTTACTAGCCCACAATTTTCTTGTCTTCTAGGTTTTTTTGTTTTTGTTTTTCTGAAGAAGAACAGTATGTTTTACTTTCTGTTGCATCGTTTCTCAAGATGGCTGGCCTCTTACAATATTTCCTCAAATCGCTGTGGAAAATATGGATAACAACAGGTTACTGAGTAATGCAGTAACCTCAGTCTAATGCAGCATTTCAGCAATCATCAGTATAGTCTTTCATGTCCAGGGCCTAAAACCATTACTCTAGTGGTGAGAGAGATTGGTTAGGAAAAGAACTTTAAGAATTTAAATTATCAGTCAGATGCTTTATGATCATTAAACTTCAGAAGGCATAGTAATAATGAAAGCTAGTATTTATCAGCAGAGTGCTGTGCACCTGCTCTGTTAGTATGGAAATCACCTTGTGATATTTTAAGCTACAGATGCTAGTTCAGTCAATCTAGTATGTGTCCTGAGATTCTTCATTTCTAACCAGTTCCCAGGTGATTCCACCACAACTGGTCTCACCACACTTTGAGTACCAAGGCTTTACATGATTGTCTCATTAAATTCTCAAAACAAATATTTGAGTTGATTATTTTTCTATCCCCTTTTAATAGATGAAACTGAAACACAAATAGTTAAATGACTTACCCAATGTCACCCACCTAATAAAGTATAGAATCAGAGTTTAAACCCAGGCATTCAGACTCACTCAAGCCTGCTCTTCTATACTACCACATGTTGTACCCCTTAGACATAATTCTTAAGGAGCATTGGGCCTTCTGAGATTGTTTCTAAGTAGAGCAGTACATTGAGGAATCATATCTGTTATATAAGTGAGTGATTTAATGTCCCACATTTTGTCCTTTGATTTAGTGGATTGAAGAGTCATTAAAAGTCAAATTTGACTCACTGCATAAGCAAAACTTCATATTCTTGGATGTTCAAGATGTCCAAGACAATGTTTTGTCATTTTGGAAGTTTACCATTATAAACCTATAGTTGGTTCATTTGTTGGTTCATTCATTTACTCATATAAAAAATTGCCTGTGTATATGCTAAGTTGCTTCAGTCATGTCCAACCCTTTGTGACACTGGTCTATAGCCTGCCAGGTTCCTCTGTCCATGGGATTCTCCAGGCATAAATACTGGAGTGGGTTGTCATTTCCTCCTCCAGGGGATCTTCCTGACCCAGGGATCAAACCCGCATATCCTGTGTCTCCTGCATTGACAGGCAGGTTCTTCACCACTAGTGCTACCTGGGAAGCCCGATTATATCTAGACACTCTGCTATATGCTATTAAGTCAAAGATGGACAGATTGTAGTAGGTTTTAATTTCAATGAACTCACAAACAAGAAAAGTGAAATATAAGCAGGGTGTGGGGGAACACATCATGAACTAAGATAATTTAAGGGAACATTTTCCTGAATACAGAGGAACTTAAGGTAAAACTTAGAGCCTGGGATCTGATCTAAACACTTGTAGGGCACAGTGCAAAATGAAAACTCAGGACTCTTTGTTTAAAGCTTGTTAGGAATTTCAAACATTAAAGCGAAACTTTAAATCAGCTATGGGCTTTTTAATTGTGGGGCCCCCTGCAGTTGCACAAGCCACACATCCAAGGGAGTATAACAGTATATTGTTATCCATTGAATACAAGAGGCTGGAGTTGAACATTGTCAGATTTAGGCTGAATTTGGTCAATTAATCTTTTATTTATTAATTCCAAAAATCACTTTTATTCTTTTATTTATTTTTTCTGAATTAAATGAGAAAGAAATGTTCCTCTGCCACTGAAATCCAATATTTGAGTTTGGTATTTAGTGCATTCGCTTTTCCCTTTTCATTCAGTATGTTTTGTTTTTCCCTCCCAATTTGTGGGTCATTTTCTTCTGTAAATGAAAACATTCCCGTCCATTTCATCACCCATCTCCTACCTCCTACCACTTATCCAGTGAAAGATTGTTGTTTGAAAAGCAGAATTTTCTTTTCTTTGGCACCATTTGAGACTGCATCCTGTTTGTTTAACTTTTTATTGCCTTCGGACACAAAGTAAACTTTTTAACAGAAATGTTAAGCATTCACAGTGAGAGACTATTTGTAAGATTTTTAAGATCTCTGAAAATAGTTGCAAGTTTTATTCAGTTAGAAAAGCAAAAAAAATTCCACTGAAAGATTTGGAATATTCTACTAAAAAATAACTGTGCATCTCTGTAATTCCCATAATATACTTTCTTTGAACACAGATCTGACTTAAAATGATTTTTTATACTTTGTCATCTATGTAGTGACTAACAAGATTGTTTGGAGCAACATATAAACTAATATCAACCTTCACATTAGAAATCAATATTAAAATTGCTTTTTAAAATGTTGGAGATGATCTTATAACAGTGATAGTTTGTGAATCATAACCTTCATTTTTATAATAAAAATGTACCATATTAGTAATACTGCAAAAATGAGTCTTTGCCTAGGCAGAGATATTATATATTGCTTTTAGGTTTTTTTTTTTTTCCTACCAGAGGATTCAGTTCTCCATACCGTGATATAACAGCCTTTGTATTGCATGCTGAAGTGCCACTGAGGGTAATTGAATTACCTGTTAAAGCTCCTGTAATCAGGCAATTCTGCCTTTCCTTCAGGCTTGAAAAATTTTGGGTATAAAGCCTCTAAAAGCTCCGGATCATTGCTAATGGCCTGTTCCCAGGGCGACTGGTAGTACTTAGGGACAGCTGTGGTGTTGAATCTTTCAGGAGGAATTTCCTTCAGTGGTCCAGAATATCCTTTGGAAAAATATTGCAAGAATAAGTAAACACAGAGTACCTGAGAGTTACTAAATTCCATCTAGCATTTTACCATGTTTAATTTTTCATGCAGGGGTAAATTTATGAAGAATGCTTTCTTTTTATGATCTCTCAGAAAAGAGTAGTCTGACAGTGTTAGACATTTTTAAATCCTTTTAAATTTATGGAATTTTCAAAAGAAAGCATTTAGCATTTCATTTTACCAAGTTATACAGTTAGTTTCTTCCTTGACTATCATAGTATATATTTGTTCAGTGAAACTATTAACTTACTTGTGCACCTTACATTAATTTATGCTAGGCCTTATATACCACAGTTACTACGTTAATTTAGAAACTAGGTTCTTTATATCAATAAAGACAGAATTTCCCTCCTCTGGGAGCTGATTCTTTATAGGTAATGTTCAGGTGTTGACTATCTAAAATTGCTGCATGCTTACATGAGGCTAAGTTGCTTCAAGTTGTGTCCGACTCTTTGTACTTCACCCCGCCGGACTCCTCTGTCAATGGAATTCTTTTGGCAAAAATACTAGAGTGGGTTGCCGTGGCTTCCTCCAGGGCATCTCGTGACCCAGGGATCAAACCCACGTCTCTTATGTCTCTGCATTGGCAGGCAGGTTTTTTTTTTTTAACCACTAGTGCCACCTGGGAAGCCCATTTTTTTTTTTTTTTTTGTCCTTGCATGTGGGATTTTAGTCCCTGACCAGGGATCAAACCAGCACCTGCTGCTTTGGAAGTGCAGAGTCTTAACCACTAGACTGTCAGGGAAGTCTCAAGAATACTGGAGTGGGTAGCCATTCCCTTCTCCAGGGGAATCTTCCCAACCCAGGGATCGAACCCAGATCTCTCACATTGCAGATGGAGTCTTTACCTTCTGAGCCATCAGGGAAGCCTGAAATTGCTGAGTGGCCTGTAGAATGTTCAGGCTTCAAAATGGTGAAGTAGCTTCTCTGCACTATCTTCGTCAGGCCCTTCTTATTCCCTGATGTGTCTATCCTTTGTTTACTTCGTTCCTGAGGATTTCTAGCCTGACTTTTCTGCTTCCAGTCTCACCTCCTCAATTTATTCTTCTAAAAGTATCATTTAAAAATCACACAATTCCTGGCATAAATGTGAAACCATTTTCACATACATTAAGTGACATTCTTCAGGTCTTCAAAGGCAGAACTGTTTACTTTCCAGCTATGCTACCTTACTGCCTAGTTATATCTTTTAAATAATTCTCTCTTCTACCATATCAAAACCTCTACTATGCAGTCACTCCTACTTTTAGGTTTCTGTGATGCTCTTTTCCTTCTTTAAAATGTTTTCTATTTTATTGTGTTAAACCATGCCTGTCCTTTCTATACACTAAAAATTAGTTTCTCTTTTCCAAAAACTCTTGATAATTCAACCAATAGGCAGCTATTTGTAGTAATTTAATTTTCTTCTGACTGTCTCCAGTATCAAATGGCAGTCTCTTCAGTAGGCTGCTTTACTCTGCTTAGGAAGTTTAACATATATTTGGCTTTAATTGTGACCTACAAAGAGATCCAACCAATCCATCCTAAGGGAGATCAGTCCTGGGTGTTCATTGGAAGGACTGATGCTGAAGCTGAAACTCCAATACTTTGGCCACCTCATGCAAAGAGCTGACTCACTGGAAAAGACCCTGATGCTGGGACGGATTGGGGGCAGGAGGAGAAGGGGACAACAGAGGATGAGATGGTTAGATGGCATCACTGACTTAATGGACATGGGTTTGAGTAAACTCCGGGAGTTGGTGATGGACAGGGAGGCCTGGCGTGCTGCGATTCATGGGATTGCAAAGAGTCAGACATGACTGAGCGACTGAACTGAACTGAACATATTGATGATTCCAAGGCTTGTTTTTTATCTTGATTCCCTTCTATTCAGCCACCTATTAGATTCATCCAAAATACTATTCCCCTGACACCCTTTATAATCTGTTTAGACCTACGTGCAGCTGTTTTCTGATACATTGTGCTTCTTTCTGTATGTTGATCATCTTAGCAAATGTTATCACTATTTTTAGATGTCTAAGACAGAAGCACTGTCCTAAACAATCTCTCATTCCCACAACAAATCACTAAGTATTACCAGCTATACTTAAGGATTTCTTAAATAGGCTTCTCAACTTTGCAGTTTCTGAATCACCACGGGCACCTACTTAAAATGTTGATAATGAATTCTTCCCTCCAGAGACAAGACATCTCAGATATGGCTTACACATTTAATACAGGTGATTTACAAACAGAACACTTGGAAGTAACTGTTCTAGCAAATTCTCTTTTTCCTTCTCATTTCCATACCTGGTTCAGGCCCTGTGCATTTCTTGCATGGGCTTTCACAGTAACCTTTGCTAAATTCAAATAATCTATAGTTTGTACTCTGAATTTGTTGTACTTTTCAACTCATCAACCAAGAAGGAAGGACCCATTACTCTTGCTTCATTACAAGCCATCTGATAACCTTGAAACTCTCCCTTTTCTTAGTCTATATTACAGGCATGCCCTAATATTTAATAATTGAATATTTAAACTTTAAGTAGCTATATGAATTTATACTTCCAAAATTTCTCTCTCTCTCTCTATATATATATATATATATTTGTATGTGTATAAATACACATAGATTGTTCCTGATAGTAAATAAAATATACATATGATATTAAAGTTTGTATGGCAGAGAGAAAATGAGACTACAAATATAGCATGGACATTTGTCCTGTGTCCCTGTCTATGAATTCCTTGAGGGTAGAACTTTTTTATTCTTTTTAAAATTTCATAGTTTATAATCAGTTTAGTTGCTTAGTCATGTCCGACTCTTTGTGACCCCATGGACTGCAGCACGCCAGGCTTCCCTGTCCATCACCAGCTCTTGGAGCTTGCTCATCATGTCCATCAAGTTGGTGATGCCATCCAACCATCTCATCCTCTGTCGTCCCCTTCTCCTGCCTTCAATCTTTCCCAGCATCAGGGTCTTTTGCAGTGAGTCAGTCCTTTGCATCAGGTGGCCAAGGTATTGGAGATTCAGCTTCAGCACCAGTCCTTCCAATGTATATTCAGGACTGATTTCCTTGAGGATGGACTGGCTGGATCTCCTTGCAGTCCAAGGGACTCTCAAGAGTCTTCAACAAAGTAGTTCAAAAGCATCAATTCTTCAGCTCCCAGCCTTCTTTATGGTCCAACTCTCACATCCATACATGACTACTGGAAAAACCATAGCCTTGACTAGATGGACCTTTGTCAGCAAAGTAATGTCTCTGTTTTTTAGTATGCTGTCTAGGTTGGTCATAACTTTTCTTCCAAGGAGTAAGCATCTTTTAATTCCATGGTTGCAGTCATTTTCACCATCTGCAATGATTTTGGAGCCCAAGAAAATAAACTCAGCCAACTGTTTCCACTGTTTCCCCTTTTATTTGCCATGAAGTGATGGGACCGGATGCCATGATCTTAGTTTTTTAATGTTGAGTTTTAAGCCAGCTTTTTCACTCTTCTCTTTCACCTTCACCAGGAGGCTGTTTAGTTCCTCTTTGCTTTCTGCCATAAGGGTGATGTTATCTGCATATCAGAGGTTATTGATATTTATCCCGGCAATCTTAATTCCGGCTTGTGCTGGATGAAGCACAAGCTTCTTGTTCCATGTCCATTTCTAACTGTTGCTTCTTGACCATCATACAGATTTCTCAGGAGGCAGGTAAGGGGATCTGGTATTACCATCTCTTTGAGAATCTTACACAGTTTATTGTGATCCACACAGTCAAAGGCTTTAGAGTAGTCAATGGAGCAGAAGTAGATGTTTTTCTAGAATTCTCTTGTTTTTTCTATGATCCAGCAAATGTTGGCAATTTGATCTCTGGTTCCTCTGCCTTTTCTAAATCCAACTTGACCATCTGGAAGTTCTTGGTTCATGTACTATTGAAGCTGAGCTTGAAGAATTTTGCTCATTACTTGGCTAGCACGTAAAATGTGCAATTGTGTGGGAGTTTGAACATTCTTTGTGATTACCTTTTTTTGGGAATGGAACGAAAACTGACCTTTTCCAACCCTGTAGCCACTGCTGAGTTTTCCAAATTTGCTGGCATATTGAGTGCAGCACCTAACTGCTTCATCTTTTAGAATTTGAAATAGGTCAGCTGGAATTCCATCACCTCTAGTAGCTTTGATCATAGTGGTGCTTCCTAATGCCCACTTGACTTCACACTCCAGGATGCCTGGCTCTAGGTAAGTGATCACACCATTGATTCATAGTAATCAATGGTTATTGATTCGTAATAAAGATTTTAACTTAGTAATGGAAGTACCAGATTGAATCAACATAAACTTTTCTATATGTCTTCCCTTTCCTATTAAAAAACCTTACCATTCCACACATTAGATAGCAGAAGGTTGCAGTATAGTGGTTGGAGCTTAAAGGAAATATATATACTCTATTATGTATTAAGTATATAAAGATGGGTAAGGAAAGGATGAATTTCAACTCAGTATTTTATTGTATATTAGGGACTATACTCACATTCTCACATTTAATTTTCACAACAACCATGTGCAGTGAGATTTATTTTCTTTATTTTACAGATTGAAGAAACAGACTCAGAGATTTATTTTCATTCTCAGCACAGTAGTAAAGTGGGCATGGATGAAAGATCCAGCAGCTTTATTGCTGCTGTCCGCAGTGGTGATGGGACTTACTTTTGCCTTACCTGATCACAAATTATGGGGAGAGAGGATAAAGATTTATTATTTCTTTAAATAAAAAGAATACTTTTATTTTGCTCATTTAAGAGCAATGAAAAAATGATGGAATGTTGACTGTGTTTGGTATCCAGGACACTACCATGAAGGTCCCTGTTCTGCATGGCATCCATCAGCTTTTACCCTTCGTCCTTCTTCACTTTTGCTTCTGAGCTTGGCTGTACAAACTTTCACTTTCATTTGATAATGTAAATTCACTTAATTTTACCATTTGAGAGACTACTAGCAACTAAATACTAAAGGAGGGAGAACACTGAGGGAACTCCTGTTTTTATTATGGAGTGTTGGAAAAAAGGATAAAGTTCTGCCATTACAGTGTGTTTTTATTAGAAGAGGGCTTGATGAATTTAAATTCATTTAAGGATGGTTCATTTACTGGACTATTTTCTTAAAATCCCAGCATACAGTCTTTAGTAACAGCTGTAGTATGTTGAACCATTAATTTGGAGTTTTTTTTCCTATTTTCAGTTGTCCATGTATACAGTCATATTAAAAGTCATATTAACCAAAAAAAAAAAATGAGGAGATCACAGGTTGAACCCAGACCCATCAGATTCTTTTTGTTTTTGCCACATGAGCTTAATGTTGTATGTGCAGAACCTGTTGCCTGCTCTTCTGTCATAAAAAAAAAAAGCTATTTGAAAGCTATTTGAGAATTTTATTACAATTTTATTATAATTTTCTTGAGGAAAAACTTAAAGGTATTTGCTTTAAATTATTTTGGAAAGATATTGTCTAAGTAGAGCAGATAATTTTTCTGATTTAATATTTCAAAATCTAACAATACTTCAAATAGCATGTACTGGTTTGAATAAACATTTACTTATTTTTTGGACTTCCCTCATAGCTCAGTTGGTAAAGAATCTACCTGCAATGCAGGAGACCCCAGTTTGATCCCTGAATTGGGAAGATCCCCTGGAGAAGGAAAAGGCTACCCACTCCGGGATTCTGGCCTGGAGAATTCCATGGATTGTATGTATATTCCATGGGGTTGCAAAGAGTCAGACATGACTGAGCAACATCACTTTCACTTTCCTTATTTTTAAAGATAATAAACAAATATACAGTATTAGAGGATTGCATTTAGAGCCTTATAAGAGAGCAGAAAATAACAAAAGCAGTCTCCACAAGGTCACTCACATGATACATCTGTGAATTTGGTATCAGAGCTGGATTTAATTCTTAATCAGTCAGTGTTGGCTTCTAGCTATTCACAACCTCAAGTTCTTAATTTGTAAAATGAGGATTATAATAACTCATAATTATTAAATTAAAGAAGATAAATACATATAATAGTATTTCATAAATTACACAGTTCTATACAAATAGGATTTCAATATAATTACAAACAAACTTAATTTTTAGTATAATAAACAATTGCCAACAAAAGCTATGGGCCATCTGAAAGAACATAAGACTCCTGTAAATGTGTTACTAAACTCCTCTAGGTCTAATCTTTACATTTGTCCTGAACTTATCTACAAAATAGGTACATAATGTGAAAAGCTGTATCATTCAGACACCATTTACTAAAGAATCCAAGTGACTTGAGTCATATTTATGTGCACAGCAGTTTTATTATTCTGTTTGTAAGGGGATTAGTTACCTGGTGCAATGTTTTCTGGATTTGGGGGACTTCGTGGATCCGGAGTGTTAGGAGGAGTGAATGGTGCTTGCTGTGAACCACTTTCCAAGTTGCTTCCATCCAGTTTCTCATTCTGCATGGCAATATTGTGCTGTATTTGACCAAAAGTAAAGTCAACTGAAAACTCAAAAATATACACTAACAGGACATATCATATATGCAAAACTCCATCTGTATACTTGGAATTTAAATATAATGCCAATTCATCGTTACATACTGTCTCAATAATTTATATGGTACCCAGTTAAGCAATTGAATGAGAAATTTTACTGATATCAATCTAAATTCTGTTTTATGGTGATGATCTACTTAATAATAATTAATTAAGCCTTACTATGTGCCAGGCACTGTATCCAGGGCTTCATATCAATTATCTAATTTACTATTCACAATATATCCATAAGATAAATCTATGTAATTTGTAAGTCTTTACTTATTTAATATCATATAGCATACTCGCCAAACACACAACTTAGTCATTGTTACATTATTAGTTTGCTTATACTTGGGATTTAATTATATTCTTTAATATGACTTGTTTTAAAGATTAATCTGAAATTTGGACATTAGTCATGTATAACAAAAAAATATTTTCACTTTAAGCTGCATAAACTTATAGAAGGAAGAATTTGGGGTTTCTAGAAAATAGAATATTTAAAAGAGCATTTGTCTAAAGTTTTAGGTGAATTTGCTTTACTGTTATAATTTAGGATTTATTTTATGGCAATATAGCCCTTTAAAAACAGTCAGTTGATTTTTAACAGAGAAGAACAGACATTGTAATAGGTTATATCCTCAGAAGTATAGCTAGGATTTACCTCTATAATAAAATATTGTTTTAATTATACATGAGAGATACATATTTTTTAAAAGAAGTCAATCTTTTTAATTGCATAAGGTCAAATCATCTTTTAACTTTGTAAAGAAAAATTTACTGAAGGCCATAGCAAATAAACACCAATTTTGAGTTTTTTCTGTGTGACATAAGCCAAACATATTTTAAAATATTTTTTATTTCTGTATTTATTTATAAGATGAAAAGGTAAAAAAAAAAAAGATGAAAAGGTAAAGTACACTTTTGCAATTTAATAGTTATCTAGCTTTATAGAAATGTGATTATTTCATACTAAAATCCAAATGCTTACAATAACTAAAGATCATAAATTAAGGCCTCACCTGACAAAATTATGAAGAAAATAGTTTATCCCATTTTCAGCCTTCACCCACCCACAGACACTCTCCAGGTGCCTTTTACATTCACTTTATTCTAGGCAGCATCCTGGCAAAGTTTCTGTGGACATGAGCAGGGCGATGTTAGTAGTTGCAAGCTGACTTGTGGAGACAGGAAGGAAGGCATGAGAGGCAGCTAGGTGAGTATGGGTCTTGATTACTGGCCATATGAGTTTGCATTGTATTCAATAGGCAAAAAGAAACAATTTCTAAAGGTAGATAGTGCTATACTCAAATACATCAGTTTTTGGTGTTTTGAATTTAGCCATTATCTTAAGTGTTCAATTTAATTGACTTGATTAATAACTTTTTTCACTTCTGAACCTTCACCACCACTTCTTAGAAAAAAAAATTCTTGCTAACTTTAATTATAAATAAAAGCCAGTTGAGATAAATATAGAAAGTTTACTTGTATCATGCATTAAAATTACTTTTTCTAAGTTACTGTCCATGAAATGAGTTTCACCTAAACTTATAAATCATTCTTCCTACATTAATTTAAAAATTCTAATACTAACCTCCTTTATAGACAGGAAAATAAACTCTTTCTAGCTAGTCATTAATTATCAGGAGACACCCAGTACCTCTGTTTGTCATTGTTAAGTATACAAGCAAAGTCTTATAATAGTTGGGTAGTGACTTATTTTAGTTATTATAGCCTTAAATGATTTTTATAATGTTATTTTTTGAATAAAATATATATGTTTTTTGAACCTCAGTGTATTTAGTTAACGTCTTATTTCAGAATTACTTTTTACGGTATAATTCCCCTTTTTCCAATATTATATAAGATTTCTAAGGATTTTTTTAAGTCTTTATTGAATTTGTTACAATATTGCTTCTGTTGTTTATGTTCTGGTTTTTTGACCATGAAGCATGTAGGGTCTTAGCTCCCCGACCAGATATGGAACCCATGCCCCTTGCATTGGAAGGTGAAGTCTTAACCACTGGGCCACCAGGGAGTGCCTCTAAGGAATTTTAAAAGTGCTTAGTTACTGCAAACATGTAATTTTAACTATAAACTGTGGGTTGTGTTTTTTTTTTTCCTTAGTTCCTTGACCAGGGATTGAACCCAACTCTCCTGCATTAGAAGGCAGACTCTTTTCTTTTTTTTTTTTTTGACTGCTCTTCATTGCTTCTGCATGGGCTTCCTCTAGTGGTGGCAAGTGGTGGGGCAGAGCTGGGGGGCGGGGGGGGGGCGGCTGCTGTTTGCTGCTGTGTGTGGGCTTCTCATGTTGGTGGCTTCTCTTGTGGCAGAGCACAGGCTCTGGGCTTGGGGCTTCAGTAGTTCAGCACTCAGGCTTGGTAGTTGCTGCTCGCAGGCTTAGCTGCTCCACAGGATGTGGAGTCTCCCCAGACCAGGGATTGAACCCATGTCTCCTGCCTTGGCAGGCAGATTCTTATCCACTGTGCCACCAGGGAAGTCCGTGGATTGTTTTGGATAATATCCTTTTGTAGTAACTTATAGAAAGGAATTTTAATTATGATGAATCATTCTTTTATTTTCTCTTGTATGCTTATTTTCTTCATCCCTTTTTGTATGTGTATGTGTAAGAAGTTGATCAGTTCATGAACTAGGACTTTAAAATTGGCATGTGTAGCAAGCAGTGTATCTTCATTTTATTTTAAAAATGCATACTCTCTGTTGTTATTTGTATCATAAGGTTTGTGTGGCTTGAATTTACTAGTTTCTCAGCAAGAAAATAAGCTGAAAGCTGTGCTTATTTTTTGTAATTATACTTAATATTTTAATAGATGGCATTGATTACCAAAGAGTTGGTTTATATTTTCATTTAATGATACCCTGAAATTATAAGAAATGCATAAATGTAAGTTAAATCATTATTTTGACTATATAAAGCTCAAGGGAAGCAGTAAAAGATTATTTCAGAAAATGTAGTCAGCAACATTAATGTGATATAAATCATATAAAGATGATTCAAGAACTAGATTTTAAGTAAATCATTGCTTTCTATTTTTCAGTGTTATTTTGTCCCTCCATCACTAGACAAGGGTTATATTAATTTATCTTTGAAATCCAAGCATAGTTTCTAGAACACCATAGGCAATCAATAAATTTCTGCTGAAAGTATAAATAAATGAATGGAAATAGACCCAAACCTAATATTATCTTCTAAATTTCTGTCATATTATCAATGCTTGCTTAAAGTTGCAGTCTAAAGCATTGATAAAAGCAAATGTGTCATCATATAATGTAGCTCAGTGATTTATTATGCAGGTCATTTATAAACTTAAGATCAGTGAACACAGATCTTTAAAGCCGAGGCACCTTACAAAACCATTTGTGTCAACCCTGTATTTTATAAATGAGAAAACAGGACCAGAAAGGCAAAGAAAGTTTTAAATTGACTCCCGATTACACAGTTCGTGGGATTGCCAGGACTGAATGCTAGTCTTCCAGTTCCCAGACCAGGGTTTCTTTTAATTATACCATGACAAGTGTCAGTGTGAAGAACTCTAGAATTCAGAGAGCTGAATTTCAATCTCCTTTATTATGGTGTTACTTAAGCCAAATCAATATGTGTTCTTCCTTAAATACTACTTTCCTAATTTCTAAAGAAGAGAGCAAATTTCATCAGACTCAGAGTATATTATGTAACTCAGTGGCATGTGACTTCATTCCATATATTATTATTTTATGCTACTTATTAGCATTTAATTGTTTCTGTATATTTGGTGTATGTTCAGATATTTCAGTACAGCTGTTTGGGACTATTTAGTTCTCAATCTTATAGGAATGCTGGAAAAGTATTAAGGCATATTCTTATATATTTTACCTATGACCAGAATGTTTGACCACAGGTATACAAGATTATTGTCAATAATTTGAAATACTGGTGATGAGAGAATATGTTGTATTCTAATGGACATTTTAAATCTTACACCTTCCTTCGGAATTGTAATTAAAGCATTATACTTAGATATATAAATACTAGTTATGAAAACTGGATTTATTTAGATGTCTAGACTTGTAGATGACTTTTCAAAGAATTTCCATTAAGACACTATATTTCATATTCTTCTTCACAGCTACCTCTGTATTGCCATTATCCATCAGATGAGCTAGAGGTTATTTTAGGTTCATACTATATTAGCTGCAGACATATTCTGATAAGAGGATACTGAGCGTAATTATAGGATACCATGACATTTATCCATGACTTCAAGTGAAAATCATCCTTCATTAAGTGTAAATACTATGGTTGAGTAAAATTTGATGTCTAACTGAATTCATAATTATAGCTAGATTCAATTCATGGATGTTGAAGGATGCACATTAATGTGAAAAACAAACTATTTAAGATGTTCTCTAACCATTTATTGTTAAGCATAATCATAACAAGGGAAATAGAAATTTCAAGAATGAGTAAAACTTTAGTATTTGTGAGTGCAAATGTTGTTCTGTAGTGTGTTTTATGATAAAAGATCAGTGAAACTGGTCTGTTTGCTATAAAGAATTTAGCTGTCCATTCAAAACAGCTTACTAGTGATGGCAGTGGGAAAGGTTTCAGGTTTAAATTCATGAGTAAACTTGTGAACTTTTCATAGCTATAGAAAGAAACCCTTAGTTTAAAAAGAAAAAAAAAACTTGTTGTAGTCTCCACCATCTCCTATAGTGCACTATTCCTTTTTGTTTCTTTTTGATTCTACTAGTATTTTATTTTTAAAATATTTTCCCAAAGCTAATCATTTTTCAATTATGAACTTCTTCCTCTAAAATCTCTCTGAATGACAATTTAAAAGAATGTGGTATTCATGCAACATGTAAAATATAATTTAATAAGTTTGTTTGTTTTAAATTTTGGGTGATGGAAACTTTTGTCCAAAGAGTTTTATCCACATTGATTTTGTCGTCAGTGAGTACCAGACTTCTCTATATAACATGGAATGAATCCTTTGAAAGGAGATCAACTGTGTCTAGTTCCCAGGCATGTTTCAATGCCAGGATATTTTCAGCCAATAAAATGCTTATACTTACTTTATGGAGCACTGTGTGCTTTGGAATTGTTTCCATCCCAAACATTTAACCAGTGGTGATAAGATATGGAAACTTTTAGTTCCACCAGTCTCCACTCCCTCTCCCTCCTCTTAGCAGAACAGACCAGTTCTTCAGTGCCAAATCTACAAACATGCAATGTCTCTACTGAACTAAAAAGATACTCATATCAGGCATAATATTCATTTATACACCTAAATTATTCATTATTACGAAAAAAAGTATAACAATCAATGAAAAGAAAATTTGTAAGATACTTGTTTGGGAATTTAATAATACATATAAATTTAGAAATGCTGCCCATTTATTTAGATAACCATATTATTAAGTTATACCTACATTTATTTGTGCTTTAGATTCATACTGGAAATTTTCAAATGTATATTTGTCAGATCTTCTTTGTCTCATCTTAAATAGTCTGGCTCCACGGTTACTGAGATGGGATAATTCTTCCAACATGATGTCTCTGGGGATGCTGACTTTTTTGCCCAGGTGCATGACATCTACATCTGTAAAACAATATTCATGTGTGTGAAAAACCCTAAGATAAACATTTTTAAATGCTCTGCTAAATTTCATAATTTACTATCTGTTATATGCTAGAATAGGCGTCCCTGGTGGATCAATAGTAAAGAATCTGCCTGCCAATGCAGGAGACACTGGTTCCATCCCTGTGTAGGAAAGATCCCCTGGAGAAGGAAATGACAACCCACTCTAGTATTTCTGCCTGGGAAATCCCATGGACAGAGGAGCCTGACAGGCTACAGTCCATGGGGTCACAAAAGAACCAACACAATTTGGTAACTAAACAACAACAATATGCTAGTATAGTAACTAAAGTATAGGTTCTTTACTCAGACTACCTTGGGTTGAATCCTGGCTCTACTACTTTCTAACTGTATGATTATAGGTATGTTGCTTATTTTTTTGCAAACCTCAATTTTCTTATCTCTAAAGTGGGACTAATAATAATAATACCCACTGCATAGGTTTTATGTAAGGATTAAATAAAATGTTTTGTATCATACCTGGCACATAAAAGAGTGAGTGAAGTTTAAGGACACTATTAATTTATTCTTTCCTTATTTAGTGACTTATCAAACAGTTCCATTCATCATTCTGTTCATAAGCTCTGTTTGACTCCCAGCATTTTTATGTATCAGTTTGAACTGTCTCCATTACAAGAATGCTTATACTTTGACTCATGCCACCCATTTCTCTGTCAGAATACTATTAATTCTATATTTTGCATCAAGGAGCCTAACATAAAGTACGTAGGTGGTAAGTATTGAATAATCCTTCTCAATCCAGTTTATGTGCCATTTTTGTCAATTCCTTCTCTAAAATTTCTATGCATAATTATTTATGCCTTTTCTGTATTCCCATAGCACTGAATCAATATTACTTGATTCCATTTTACTTACTCTGTGATTTGCATTTTCTTTATGTTTTTGTCTTTGTGTCCTCCATGCCTTAAATAGAGGAGATGTTCAGTAAACAACTATTATTTTCTATTTCTAGTACTGAAGGACTTTTCTGAAATCCCAAAGAAAGAAAACTCCTCCATTTGCTCCTTTAATCAGAAATGCTTTTTTTGGTAACACACAGAGTTCTTTTGCCACTGTGAGCTGCTGTTAAATGCAGAGAAAAAAAATTGGACCATTCGTAAAATAAATATTCTGGAAGATTGGGACAACATTTTCTGATGTTACAAATTAACCCTAATAATTAGGCTTTTTGAGGTCTTTAGGCATAAAATAATCAAATTGCTTATAAATTTTCTCCTCATTTTGCTTTGAAGAAATCACTTTGCTTATATATTTTGATGTTAACTGAAGAGAAGCTCTGCTAATTATAAAAATTGTGATATCAAGACTTCTGTTTCTTTGAAGATAGACTAAATATACTTTTCTGTGTACGTTTACTAAGTAAAACTAAAAATCCTGGACATTAGTATAAAATAAACATAAGAAGACTAAAAGTTGGAGGGAAGAAGGCAGACCAGCTAGGGATCTCAGGACCAAGGAACAACATGGTACTAATTCTTTGGGTTTCTTTTAGCCCCACATATCCCAGACTTGGAGCTGAAAATGCTTTTAATTGAGAAACGTGCAACAGGTGCAGCCAAAAACCTACAGTAAAAGAGTGTTCTCACCAGTCAAGACCAGAAAGGAGCAATCTATAAAGACAAGAAACTTTAAGACAGTAGCTACTCTACTTTAGCCAAATGCCACAGAAAAAAACTAGCCTCACCCATACCAACAAATTTCAAGTGTAGAGCCCAGGATTTTACCCTTGCAAAGCTATAACAAGGTACCCCAGTGCACCCTTATATAAGGGTGGTATCTGAGAGGCCAAGGAGGAAGCTGGGACTTTCGTCCCTGTTAGCCAGTAACAACCCTCAATCCCTGCAGAGTTAGTAGAGACTAGGTGGGGATTCTGAACTCCCACCACCTCCTAGTAGTAACTAAGTGACCTCAAGTTTCAATACGAGCCAACTGAAACTGTGACTTCTTATTTCTACCTGGCAGTGATGAATGAGGTGGCACTCTCCTTCCCGTCCTGAAGCAATGTCAGACAAGTATAGATAAAATTGAAGGCTTAAATAAGAGCAAGATTCTTAAAATATAATATGAAAATGTGCAGGCTCAAATAAAAAACTCATTTGTCATAGAAACAAGAAGATCTCAAACTAAATGGGAAAAAAGACCAATGCCAGCATGAGAAGACTGAGATATTAAAATTATATAACAAAGATTTTAAAGTGGCTATGATAAAAAACGCTTCAAAGAGCAATTACAAAGTTTCTGGAAGCAAATGGAAAATTTTAGAAAACTTTAGCAAAGGGAAAAAAAATCATGACTGAAATAAAAGTTATAAAGACCCAAATGGAAACTTCAGAACTGAAAAAAATACCCCAAATAAAAAGTTCAGTGGATGGATTCAATAGCAGAATGGAGGGGATAAAGGCAAGAATCAGTGAACTGGGAGACAGAGTAATGGAAATTACCCAATAAGAACAAAAGAGAAAAAAAATAAGAAAAAAGGTAAAGAAAGCCTTAGGGATCAGTGTGACTACAACAAAAGATACAGCATTTGTATCACTGAAGTCCCAGAAGGGGAGGAGGTGTGTAGGGCTGGAAAAGTACACAAAGAAATAATGGCTGAAAACTTCCCAAATTTGTCAAGAAACATAAACCTACAGATTTGGGAAGCTAAAAGTTGTCTATGAAAGATAAATCTATAGAACTCTACAACAAGACATATCATAAACTTCTAAAAATTAAAGACAAAGGGAAAATCTTGAAAGCAGCCAGAGAAAAATGACAACTTACCTATAGGGAGAAAAAAATGAGAATGACAGTAGATTTCTCATCAGAAACCATGAAGACCAGAAGGAAGTGGCACAAAAATGCTGAAAGAAAAGAAACATCAACCCAGAATCTGATGCCCGGCGAAGACATTCTTTAGAAATAAAGGGGCATTTGAGACATCTTCAGATGAAGGAAAAGTAGGAGATTAGTTTTCCTGGAGACCTACCCTAAAAATGAGTCATGCTAATTATAACAAAACATCCAAGACTGGTGACTTATAAACAGCAGAAATATATTTCTTATAGATCTGGAGGCTGTAAGTGTGAGATATGGGTTCCAGCATAGTTGGTTCAGTTGAAGTCGTTCTTCTGAGTTGCAGACTGCCTACTTCTCACTTTGTTTTCATGCAGTGGAAGAGACATGGTAGCTCTCTTGGGCTTCTTTTATAAAGATGTTAATATCATTCATGAAGACCCTACTCTCATGGCCTAATCACCACCCAAAGGCCTCATCAGGGGCATTGGGATTTCAATATATGAATTCTAGGGGGACACAAATATTCAGACCATAGCAAATAACTAAATGAAGTTCTTTAAACAAGATGGAAACAAAATAAGAAACCTTTAAACATCAAGAACAAGAAAATATTACAGTAAGCAAAAATGTGGATAAATACAATAAGTTTTCCTTTCCCTCTTGAGTTTTCTAAATTATGTTTGCTTATAGAAGTAAAAATTATAAACCTCTCAGATATAAATGTATGTAGAAAATAGGGAACAGTTATAAACAGTAGCAGTTATATTATAAACAGGGAGAGGTAAATAGACATAAAGGTAGGTAGGTTTTCTGTACTTCACTTAAACTGATAAAATGACATCAGTAGACTTTGATAAATTAAACATATATAATATAATAGAACAACTACTAAAAACTATACATATATGCTTGAGAAATTAGAGATAAATAAAAATTGAATTCTGAAAAATAGGCAAGAAACCCCATAGGAAACTAAGAAAACAAATGAAAAACAGACAACAAACAGAAAGCAAAAACTAAAATGATAGACTTAAGCTCTACTACATCAATAATTACATTAAATATAAATGCTAAAAATATAGTAATTAGAGGATAGAGACTAGTGATTGGATTTAAAAACATGACCCAAGTATTAATTGTCTAGAAGAAACCCACTTCAAAAATAAGTACCTTGAGCAATATAGGCAAGTTGAAAGCAACAGGATAGAAAAAGATATCAAACAAACATTAATCAATGGGAAGTAGAAGTGGTTCTATTAATATCAGATAAAGTGGACTTCAGAACAAAGGAAATAACCAGAGAGGGAGAATGTTATATAATGATTAAAGTGTCAGATCAGTCCACCAAGAAGACCTAAAACTCCTAAATGTGTATTCATCAGAAAACAGAGCTGGATATGAAGCAAAAATTAATAGAACTAAAAGGAGAAATAGATAAATCCACAGTTATAGTTGGAGACTTCAACATCCCTTTCTCAACAAACAGAGAGAAAATGAGCAAGGACATAAAAGAAGTCAAGGACACCATCAACCAGTAGGATGTAAATGTTTGTAAAATACTCTACTGAACAGCAAAAGTTACACATTCTTTCCAGGTGCACATAGAGTATACTCCAAGATACACCATTTCCTGCACCATAAAATAAGCTTCAACAGATTCAAAAGAGTGAAAATTATACCCAGTATGATCTTTGATCAAAATGGAATCACACTACAAATCAGTAACAGAAAGATTACAAGAAAATCTCCAAATATTTGGAAACAACAACAACAACAAAATACTTCTAAACAATCTGTGGGTCAAAGAAGTCTCAAAGGAAATAAAAAATTCATTGAACTAAGTGAAATTGAAAATAGAGCATATCAGCAATACTGAGCATTTATCCTAGTGAAATGAAAGTTTTATATTCACACAAAAACCTATACACAAATGTTCACAGCTCTCCCACAATTGCAAGAGATGTGGAGTCAATCTCTGGGTTGGAAAGAGTCCCTGAAAAAGCAAATGGCAACCCATTCCAGTATTCTTGCCTGGGAAATCCCATGGACAGAGGAACCTGGTGGGCTACAGTCCATAGGATCTCAAGAGAGTTGGACACAACTTAAGCTACTAAACAACAACAAATGGTTAAAAACACTATGATCCATCCATTGCATGG